GCTTGAAGGGTGATGCCGTGCCATATTGTGAGTGCTAATGCATGAAGGGCGATGCCGTGCCATGTTGTGAGGGTTAATGCATGAAGGGTGATGCCGTTCCATGTTATGAGAGTTAATGCACGAAAGGTGATTCCGTTCATTTTTTCTTTACTGTGTTTAATGGTCCTTATTGATTCATAGCATGATTGTTCAAGTTACCATTCTGCTGCAGTTCTCTATCTCGTATTTTTTCTCAGCATGTTTCCCCTCCCAATAGTACATGTTTAGATGTTACTGTTGTTTTCTTGTACATATACTGTTATCTGCACAGGTTTATTATGTGGGTATCTTGTCATAGCCTCGTCACTAATTCGTCAAGGTTAGGCTCGACACTTACCAGTACATGGGGTCGATTGTACTGATATTGCACTATGCACTTCTTGTGCAGATTTTGGTACCGGTCATAGCTGATCGTGAGGCTTAGCAGCTTGGATTTGCTGTCAGGAGACCCAAGGTAGATTTGCAGGCGTCCTCAGACCCTGGAGTCTCTTCCTAGTTTTATCATTTACTGTTTTCTAACTTCAAAAAAGTGTATTTTTTCCTTTTCAGAATCTGCTTGTAGTAAATCATAGTAGCTCGTGAGCTGTGACTCCATATCCGAGTAGTAGTAATTAATGAAGTTTTTATATTATTCCGCACTCGCCGTATTCCATTTTAGCTTATTTGCTGTTATTTACTGAATTGAATAAGGATTGGCTTAATAATTCTCTAATATCGGCTTGCCTAGCAAGTGAAATGTTAGGCGCCATCACGGTCCCGACGGTGAGAATTCTGGGTCGTGACAAATCCAGATGTGTATGATGAGATTTTACTTCAGAGGAGATGAAAATTCCAGTGTTGTGGTTGGTTTATCAATCCTATTAAGTTCACTAATCACACTCGTTAATCCAGATTATCTATGGTTGCTAATTAACCAGATTGTTTATATGAATAGCATGTTCCCACAATACTACTCTCCTGCCCACAATATATCAATCCTATATTCCTATGGTATTGAGTCTATCATGAACGAATATAATACGGTATTCAATTAACCAAGACTGTTAGGTATATTCCTATCCTAACCGCGAAATCGTTCCCCCGAGCCACTGGTTTAGAAACAAGCTCTCTCTAACTCTACTCTAATCTAAACATGGCTTTCCCAAGCATAGCATAGATAGTAGGGTGAATGAGTAGCTACAACAATTCACAAGTTAAAACTAGAATTAAAGAAACAACCATAAGATGATAATCCGAATTAACGAAGATGTAATTAATAATCGTTAATAATCATGTCAACCACAACCCTAGAAACAAAGTGCTTAGCCACTCATGTTCGTAGTAACAATTTTCCTAATATTTTGCATAAATAAATTACAAAGAAAAGATAAAGGAATGAAGAACTCAATGATTTTCTTCTCCAAAAGTTGTTCCACGTGATGTTCTTGCCTCCGGTCGCAAAACTCCTCTAAAAATGATGTTTAATGACTATTTATATGTGTAGGAAAAAAGCCTAGAACGAAATAACCAAGTCCAAAATCAAAAAGGAGACAAAATAGGCTTTAAAATCCGGAACACCCTCGCTACAGGTCTCGCGGCGCGAGGCAAAACGCGAGCTTCATCTCGCTGTAGCTCGTGCGACGCAAGCTCTGTCGCGAGCAAAATCCCTTGCTACGCGTGCTCTAACGCGAGCTTGTTGGCTCGCTTCGCCTGATGCTTCTCTGCTTCAATTTAATTTTGAGGTCTTTTGTTAGTGCTAGTTGCCTAACACTCTCATTTCTTTCCTTTGCTTTCCTATTTATCTCACGTCAATTTGCACATATTATGTCTTCAATCATTATCTAATCATGATATCATAATATTTTCCATCATTAAATAATCACAAGCCATTCTTGTAATAAAAAATACATATAAAATCTCTACTTTGCTCCCAATTTCGTCATACCTACACATAAAATAAATTCAATTAAACACAAATATAATATAGTTTAGCATTAAAGCCCCAAAATATAAGGTAAGTAATTCACTAAAAATATGAAATTATAGTAAAACATCATTATACATGTATACTATCGATTTTTTATTCTTGTTATCTGTATTTTTCTCTATTTTCCTTTCACACTGATAACCTATTTCTGTTTAACCTATTTCTGTCGTTTCTCTTGCTAGTCTCCATCGGAAATGTGTTACGAGGCAATGCATAGGATGTATGATAAGCATTTGCTTGTCTCTATTTGAAAACATGTTATGAGCAGTATATTAGGATATATATCATATGCATAAGCTTATATTTTTTTATTATCTAAAGAAGTATTTTATAGTACATTTCAATGTATTACAAAAACATATACACAAGATTTGAAACACATATTCTGCACATTATACACGATCTATCTTACTGAATTTGAACCCATATATTTTCTAAATCTTTCTATCTTTGTATTTCTCTTTTTCGATAAATAAAATACCTCTTATGCTAGTCTCATTTAAAGGAATATCTTTTATGAAAGTATGTCTTTCGTTCAAAATGATGCCCGTGTTTTACATGTTGTGTACAGTTCATTTTTGACTTACGATATCGTTGTTCTTCTCTATTTTGCTTTTCCTATTGATACACTACATCTCTATTTCGTATCTAACGTGTTTAGGACGTTATAATCCTTTTTTTTTCTTTCTAAACTCTTGTTATTTTTCTCTATTTTCTTTTTTGCGCCGATATACTACCTCTCTGTAGCTTGTCTTGTTAATCTACACTAAAGAAATCTCTTTTACTAAAGTTTGTCTTTTATTCAATAAATATGACACGTTTGAAATACGTATTGTGAATGCTAAACATGTGAGGTATCACATGAATTTATTTTTTTCTTAAATATAATAATTATATTCATAAACGACATAACAGTAGTGCTAGAATTTTTTCGTACAAGTGCACAAAAATATGTGTTTTGAACATTATACATGTGAGATATCATATGAATTTTTTTTCTTAAACGATAATAATTATATTCATAAACAACAATAATAGTGCTGGAACTTTCTGTACAAGAGAGCAAAATCAATGTTTGAACGTTATACATGTGAGATATCACATGAGGTTTTTTATTTTTTATAAACGGTAATAATTATATATAATCATAAATGACATAAAAGTAGCAATAGAATTTTCTGTGTAAGTGAGCAAAACATCTAAAAGTATAGCCCTTTTTCTAATCTTCGAACGACTCTACAAATTCTAATAAAGTTTCTACCTCATTTGCCTATTCCTTCTTACACGTGTTTTGCACGTTATATATGTGTACCATCCATTTTTAATTCTTGCTATATTTATTTTCTCTACTTCCCTTCCCATTGATAACCTCTCTGTCGTTTCTCTTGCTAGTGTCCATAAGAAAATGTATTACGAGCACTACATAGAATGTATGATAAACGTATACTTGTCTCTATTTGAAAACGTGTTATGAGCAATACATTAGAATGCATGTATCATATATATTTACTTGTCTTTTGATATTTAGCTTAAATTATATATATTTATATGTATATCGCCTCATATTTTACTCGTGTTTCGTGGATTTCGGATGTTAAATGTAATGATTTATGCTAATTCGTGGTGTTTTTATATGTAGGAATCATCCGGAGGCAACATGGGGCGAAAGGTGCGAGATTAGAACCGAAAAGGAAAAAAATTGAAAAAGAACCATTTGTAGCGCCACAGGCAGCGTGGGGCGCTAACTGTGGCACAATTTAAAGAATTGAGAATTTTCCAGCGCCCCACGCTACCCTGGGCGTTGGTGACGGGGAACCTTAAGGTTATTTCGGCCCAAGACCTACCCAACGCGCATAAAGCAAGACTAAGCCTATTTTGAGGGGAGGGATGCCACTTTGATGGAAAAATACACATAAGAAATATCAGGGACCGAGGATATCTCAGTTTTCTTCATCTTTTCTTAGTATTTTCAATTATTCAACAATTGTGAATTTGTTTGATATTATCATGAGTGGCTAAAACCCATAGTTCTGGGGTTGTGATTTAGCTATGAATATTGTTGTTTAAAGTTGACTTAACCTTGATTACAATTCACTAATATATGATTGTTTCTTCAATTCTGTGATTAATTGCTTAATTGTCTGGCTAACAGTTAGGTTCTATTTACTATCTATGCTAAGGTTGGAAAAGCCATGTTTAGATTAGAGAAGAATTGAAGAGAGCATGATCTTAACTCTGAGGGGGGCAGATTTATGGTTAGGATAGGAATATACCTAATCACCGTGCTTAATTAAATATCATAATCTTAATGCATTCTTAATAGATTGATTCCATAGGAATATATAGGTGTTAATCTATTTCGAACAAGTGAGTAGGAATTCAGGAGAATACTACGAGAGCAATTGTTCAATTAATTAGCAACCATGAGTTAATTGTATGAAAGAGAGAGTTAATTAGAGCACAATAGGATTGGTGAATCGATCACAACCCTGGAATATTCGTCTCTACTGAATACACAACAACCATTTTGCTGCTTGATAAAATAGTTACTTGTTAGAATTAGTGCTTAGTATGATCACAACTTTGAACTCTGATTGACTTGACTGAGTAAAATTCTTGGTGAAACTAGTGGGTAATTAACACAAGTCTTTGTGGGTTCGACACTCGACTTATAATTTTATTACTTGTACGACCACGTATACTTGCGTGTGCATTTGGGAGCAACAAGTTTTTGGCGCCGTTGTCGGGGACTTGAATATTGACTACTTTCTAGTTTTTGCTTTACTTGTTTACTTCGTCAAGTCTAACGTTTCTTATTGGTTGCTTTGCTCTCAGGAACTTTCATTGAATGCAAAGGGTCAGAAGCGATGATAGACTTCAAGGCTTTGACCTCGAACCAGAGAGAACATTTCATAGGAGGTTGAGAGAAGCAAGGGACACAGATAATCTTCAGACACTTGTTCAATTTCCTGTGGACATGGCAGAGGAGTAATATATGGATGTTCAGGAGGTGGCGATGCGCAACATTGCTAATGTCACCTCCAGCATTGTGAAGCCCAAAATTACTGGGCACTTTGATCTGAAACAGAGCATGATCCAACTACTACATGCGAATTGGCAGTTTATGGGTCTTCCTCACGAGGAACTACAACAACATATCCCGACTTCTTGGAGGTTAGTGATACTTATATCACTAACGAAGTCACTTCAGACTATGTGAGGCTCATACTTTTTCTATTATCTCTGTTGGGCGAAGCAAAGTGATGGTTGAAGGCGGAACCAACTAATTCTATTACATCATGGAATGATATGGTGAGGAAATTTTTGGCAAGGTTTTTTCCTTCAGGAAAAACTGTAAAGATCAGAAGTGAGATAGTCACCTTCAAACAGAAATCGGGAGAGTCCTTATACTCAGCTTGGGAAAGGTTCAAGGGGGTGCTTAGAGACTGTCCTCATCACAATGAGACAAATGAAGTATTAGCGCACACTTTCATAGAAGAGCTACATCCTGAGACAAAAATTATGGTGGATGATGCAGCGGGAGGTCAAGTGTTGGAGAAAAGCTTCGATAAGATATATGCATTATTGAACAAATTCTCCAAAACCAATCCTGATTGGCAAGGAGAGATGGGCAGACATACAGTACAAAAATCTACAGGGGTTCTCGAGTTAGATGTCATCTCTGTATCATCAATGCAGATTGACACATTGGCCAACCAAGTCAATCAGATGACCTTGGTTATTAACAAGAAACAAGCCCAGCCAGTGCAACATGTTCAGATATTTTGTGAAGTTTGCAGAGAGTGTCACACGAGTGACTTATGCCCAGCTAATCTAGAGTCTGTCTATTTTATGGGTAATGAAAATAAGGTCCAGACAAATCAGTATGGGAACACTTACAATCCTAACTGGAGGAACCACCCAAACTTCTCTTGGGGTGGAAACCAAGGTGCTCAGAATCAGTACAGGCCACAAGCTCCTCAACAGAAATATAGACCACCACAAGTTGAACAACCTACAAACCTGATGAGTCACATTGAGGAGATGCTAAAAACATTGATGGCTGACCAGCAGGCCCAAGCAGCAGTGATGATAAATTTAGAGCGACAAATGGGGCAACTCGCCAGTTTCCAAAATACTAGACCAGTTGGAACTCTTCCAAGCGACACTAAGGTTACTCCTAAGGCATCTATTAATGTTGTGTCATCAAGGAATAGGAGACAGTTAGAAGAAGTTCCATCGAAAAAGAGAAAGCAAGTGACCTTTCATGAGAAATCGGCCACCATAGAAGTAGAATCAGAAAAATTAAAGGAGTCAAAGAAGCCAGCTGAAGAGGCGGTGTCTAAGCAACCACCACCATTAGTTGCAAGGCCACCACCTCTGTTCCCTCAGAGATTGCAGAAAGTGAAGGATAATTCCGCTTATAAAAAGTTTCTTGATATTTTGAAGCAGGTGCAAATCAATATTCCACTGGTATACATCCTGCAAAAAGTGCCCAAATATGCCAAATACATCAAGGACATAGAGGCAATAAGAGGAGGTTGACAAATTTTGAGATTGTGACACTCACTGAAGAATGTAGCTCAAGAATTCAAAGCAAGCTACCTCAAAAATTAAAGGATCCAGGTAGTTTTACTATACAAATCTCGATTGGTAAGCACGCAGTCGGGCGAGCTTTGTGTGACCTTGGGGCGATCATCAATTTGATGCCGCTATCTATGTTCAGACAATTGGGGTTAGGTGAGTCGCTCCTAACAACAATGATTTTACAGTTGGCTGATCGCTCCCTTACTCATCCTGAATGAGTGATTGAAGATATGTTAGTTCCAGTTAGAGGTATTCAATGGTATAAAGCACTCAGATTACCATCCCACTATGAAGAGCTATCCATGATTTCTGTGGTGAAAAGTGATGTGACGTCATTGGTGCCTTATATGAGCCCCATAGATCTTCTTGAACAAGCATTGATTGGGGATGAAGAAGACAGTGAAGATGAGATGATGGAAGAAATGGATCAAGTACTTAACATGTCTTGTAGTTATGTCCATGGGTTTGAGAAATTTGAGGAGTTGGACAGGCCTATTACTCTGACCCCTCCTAAGCCATCTATTGAAGAAGCTCCAAAGCTAGAGCTTAAGCCCCTTCCAGTGCATTTGTGCTATGCTTATTTGGGGAGCTTTGAGACATTGCCAGTGATTATCTCATACAGCTTGACCGATGTACAAGAAGAAAAATTGCTCAGAGTGCTTCGTGAGCATAAAAAGGCTATTGGGTGGACAATTGCTGACATCAAGGGAATCAATCCATCATTTTGCATGCATAAAATCTTTATGGAAGATGGACATCGCCCCAGTGTTGAGAAATAAAGGAGATTAAATCCCATTATGAAATAGGTCGTGAAAAAGAAAGTAATTAAGTGGCTTGATGCAGGTATCATCTTCCCGATTTCTGAGAACAACTGGGTAAGCCAGTGCAATGTGTGCCTAAAAGGGGGTGGGGG